CCCAAAAAAAAATTCCATCCATCAAAAGCCAATTTTACTTTGTACCCCCGTACACGTACATTCTCACGTGATGGCCAAAAATCTCACAAAAGCAAAAAGCTGCAGAACGTCGCCAACATTTGGGCAAAAAGCGCCATTTCCGCTCAGGGTTCTTCTGCCTTTTGGCCACGATGCCACGCGGGCTCGTCGGGATGGGGAGCCTTTTTCAACTCAAAAGATCTTTTCGGTCGTTCGAGTGGCACTTTCGAGCCGTAACTGCTTTGCTGTCGTTAACACCATCAGGTAACGGGGGATCATTTCGGTGCCAGTCCGAGCTCTGGCTCCGAGAAGGAACCGGCCTATTGTGAAAACGAATGCTCCAAAAGTACGGGTGCCGAAAATAATAATAATAATAAAGAATCATCTTCATCGTAGTCATCAATCAAAGCAATCTACTTGAGAGCAGGCACAAGACGACACTTGTCGCCGGCCGGCGTTTGAGAGCGTTTTCCGAATGAGTCGGGCGCGGTGATTTTGCAAGCGCGCTAACTCGGCGTCCCGCCGTTGAGCAGGTGATGCAATCCCTGCGCTTCGCCCTGCAAGCGGCGGCGGAGGACATCACGCTCACGTGGGACTTGCCGAAGGAGGTGTCGGTCACGCCGCTGTCTCCGCTTCTCGCCACCATTTTCCAGGGTCAACGCTCGCTGATCTACGCTCAGCTCACCGGACGGGTAAGCGCGCCGGCGCGGCAAAAGGGACGCTCGGCTTGGCGACGAACGCCGAGCCGAGCCGAACCTTCTCGCCTTTCAACTCAAAAGTCCGGCGATTCGCTTTTCGACCCGCCAAGCGTTTTGTATGCTTTCCGTGTCTCCAAGCACCTTTCCCGTTTGGCCCGCGTTGTTTTCCGCAGAGTTCGCAGGCAGAAGACGCTTGCGTCACCGTCAAGTACAACCTGGCCGGCCAACCCAGCCAGAGTCGGCTTCGCTTCGCCCTTCGCCCCAAAGAGGACACCGGGTAACTTGCAAACGCACAAAGGGGGTTGGGCCTTTTCCCCTTCGCAAAGACCTTTGTTTTTTACTCCTTTTCGCTCGCTCCCGGGTTTGATTTTCGCGGTAAACTATCACGTGACTAAGAAGCGCGCCTTCACTCCCGTCAAGAGTGACATATTGTAGACGGATGTACCAGATAATTTTATTAATAATCTTATTCAGATTCTGAAATGAATAAAATGGAAGTAATGGAAGTTATTCATTCTTTCTGTGTGGCCCAGGGGTGGGCAATCCCAGTCCTGTGGGGGGGGGGTCGCTATCCTGCATGTTTTCCATCTCTCCCTTTTTGCAACACACTTGATTCTAATGATCAGATTATCAGCGAGTTGTGTGGAAGCCTCCTATTGAACCTGCTCATAAGAATCAGGTGTGTTGCAACAGGGAGACTTGGAAAACATGCAGGATAGCGCCCCCCCCCCCCAGGACTGGGATTGCCCACCCATTGCCTAGACACTCGCAACCACGGTCAACCGCCTCATTTTTCAGGGCCCCTGCAGAGCTTCCGTGGCTCTGCTCTCCGCCGTCCACCCAAAACGGACGCAAAACGGC